GTTATTATTGATCCTCTTGATGACTTCAAATGGGCCATCAACTCGTGGTAGAAGCTTGCTCTTCCTCTCTTCTGGGAACCTATCCTTGCGTAAATGAATCCACACTAAGTCTCCTTCTTCAAAGATGAGCTCCTTTCTGCCCTTGTTCGCATGTTTCTCGTACTGCTTGGTTCTTTTCTCTATATTCTCCTTAGCTTTAGCATGTATCCTCCTGACCTGTTCAGCCTTTTCTTTGCCATCAAAGCTACACTTCACACTTAAAGGTAAAGGAATCAAGTCTATAGGTGATTGTGGGTTAAAACCATAAACAATTTCAAAAGGAGAGAAGAGAGTAGCAGAATGCTTAGCCTGATTATAAGCAAACTCAACATGTGGTAGACATTCTTCCCATGACTTGAGATTGCTTCTTACTAAAGTCCTGAGGAGTGTAGATAGCGTCCTGTTCACCAGTTTAGTTTGCCCATCTGTTTGCGGGTGACATGTGGTTGAGAATGATAACTTGGTTCCTAGCTTAGCCCATAACGTCCTCCAGAAGTGTCCTAGCAACTTTGTATCTCGGTCTGAAACGATTACTTGAGGCACTCCATGTAGACGTACTACTTCCCTGTTAACCACAACGAAAATCGAATCTCTACCATTTCTGGTTCGATGTAAGCCAAGAAATGGTGATTTGGACTTGGGTCTTCTCTTGGGCTGTTCTACATGGGCTGGGGCCTTGTGGTGATTCAAATGAGTGTGTGGATTCCCTTCATAGCTGATCAAAGTGTTAAAAGACTTCAAATCCTCACATCTCGCAATATCAGCTATCATCTTTGAGTCATATGGATGGTGAATGATTCCTTGATAACTTGGTGTTGCCTCATTAAATACATCCTTGTACTCCTCTATAATCTCTATCATCTCGCGTGGAAGCTCTTGTGCTGACTTAGTACTGGTGAGTGTCTCCTTATACACAAACGTGAATGTGGTCATCTCTGGATCAAATAGCTTGTTGAACTCACTATGATTGATGTACAGGCTGTGAGACACTTTCCCTGTATCCTTGCGGTTCATGTGAAGCTGGTCCTTGTAGATTTCGTTGGGTGTAAGTGGCAAAAGAGTGATCTTGCGTCCCTTGAACTCAAATGACTGCTTGTTAGTGTAGCCATCATGAAACACTCTTCTGTCGCACTGCCATGGTCTTCCCAACAGAATATGACTTGACTTCATTGGAATCACATCACATAGCAACTCATCCTCATACTTCCCAATCGTTAGGTTCACCATCACTTGCTGCGAAACTGTTAAAGCTCCCTTGTTGTTCAACCACTGTAGCTGATACGGTCTTGGATGTGAAGTGGTCTTGAGATTAAGCTTCTGAACCATCTCTTCACTGGCTGCATTAGTACAACTTCCTCCATCAACGATCAAGGTGCAGACCTTGTCTTGAACCATACATCTGGTGTGAAATAGGTTCTCACGCTGACCTCTATCATCTGGGTGTATCTGAACGCTTAAAGCTCTGCGTGCCACTAACA